TGAGAGAAAAAATTTCAAGAAACAATTGAACAAATGTTATTAAAAGATAATAGTTATGTAATTAGTTAATCTCAAGGATCAAGTTAGCTTAACAATAATAAGTAGAAGTATTAGATTGACAATTTCCAAAACGTAACAGAAATATAAATGACAACAAGTTATATCAAGTAAACACCAAGTTGATTCATAACAAGGTTTTCATTCAAACACGAGTTAGTATGTGTGATCATCTTAAGGTGAAGAGGATCTCAGATATTAGAAAAGATGAGGATTTCAGATAATGATCTTTTTATTTTTGTATTAGCTCAAAAGATCATGAAAGTAGGTTAGATTACATGAAGAGGGAGTCTCTATTTATAGAGTCACAAAAAGTTACATTTGAAATTAACTAATACTAAATTACTGACTTCAGTGACCATGCAAGGTTCACTGGACAAAACAATGTAAATACGTCAAGTCAGAAAAGTATCATCGGGTCTTCATGTTCAGATCATCTCTCCGGTATTAGCATAGTCTTCGGTTCACCAACAAAAGAAACATTCTTCGATACACATCATATCGTTGATAGTCATCTGGGCAGGTCTCTGGTTCCTAAGCTAAAGAGGGTCACTTTTTTGTTTCAACAATTTCCCCCAAAATGACCTCTTAGCTTCCTTCTTCAATTGTTCAAATTGAGGAACCGAATGATGATGCACCAGAACTATGTTACTTCACTTAGCAAGTGGATTCTTCAGGTGACTTCAAACTTCACATCTTCCGTTGTGTACTATGACATTTGAATCGAGGCCAAAGTGGTATCCAATTGCTTCTTTGTCAAATGATGCATTTTGGTCACCGATATAAAGTATTTGATACCATCTTGAGCTTTCTTGAAGATAACTCCTAAATCCGGGTGTTTGGTTGCACCTAGTGACATATTTTGGTATCCTTCAGTGAAGCTTGGAGCTGGCTCGAAGTCAGGAAACTTGAACTTCTTGGAAAGAATTGGGTGAATTTCTATGTCAATATTCCCAAAGTCACAAACCAATGCTCTAAGACATTAACATGCTTTTCGCTCGCAATCTTCGTCTTTGGGTGTTTACCAACTTTGACTTGAAAAAGCTTTGCAATCAGGAATATCTCTTCGGGGTTCATACAAACAAAATCAGCCTTGGTTCTGATATAGTCATTTCCCCTACAGGTCAAGGTATACTGAACAAAGTAAGTTTTCTTGAATTTTCTAACCTTGAAATGTAACATTCCATTTAAATTATATAAATAAATTAATAATAAATCCTATAACCCTGAGACGTATTTTTATGTATTGTATTTTAGCCCTAAGTCGTACTAATTAATGGGGTGTACACATTGGGGTGTTAAAAAGCTACATTTTTTTATTATTGAGGGTTAAATGGTAACTGTCGGGCTAAAATTGTAATAAATTATTAAAGATGGGGGTTGTTTGTAAAATATTGGACTTAAGTTGAAAAGGTTTTGTGAATGATACACGGGATTTACCTGGTATCCCTTCCCCCTCGTTTTTTTTTTTTTTGATGAAGCCCTAACCCTATCATATTGTCTTCAGCGGCCACCATGAGAAGCCACCTCAACCTCCTCTACCTAGTCGAGTTCGACCACCACCTTTTGGCATGCTACCTCACCATTGAAGCGCCACCACCCCATCCCTGCTGTCATACATCGTGGGCAGCCGAAAGAGCTACCGCTTGCCACCGTGTGGGTGGCTGTGTGTGTGTGTGAGTAGGTGTGTGTGAGTGTGTTTCCTTTATGTTGAGATGTTGATGGGGTGTTTTGTCTGGAGAAAAGTCAAAGAAAACCCCCACAACAACCATGAGCCACCATCGACCACCACTGTCCGAAGTGGCAGTGGGTGGTGCCCGGCCTGGTGAAACTTTAATTAGCCAAAAACATAACCATTAAACTAATTGACTTGTGGTTGGGTTGGAAAACCCTAATTATAGTTTAGAAAACCCTAATTTTGGGGGATGTTAGTTTTGGATCGTCGTGACCCACATTTGGACCATTTGATTGAATTCATGACTTATGCGCGTTAATTTTTTATGTTTGGCCTAGTAGAGTGATGGACTTAATGGATTAAGTCCTTAATGGGCTAAGTTAGAACACTTAACGCTAAGCGTCATTTTATGTGAAAACCCTAATTGTGTTGGGTTTTGATTTTGGCTTCTCTGTTGGGCCTAGATACTTGGATTCTTGATGGGCCATCTAGGAACAAGTATATGGACTATGGTTTTTTGATGAGCTTTTAGGTAAGGACCATGTTAAGGGTTTGGGCATAATTTGGAAAATTAGGCTATAGTTGGGCCTTGGTTATTTATTTGGCTTTTGGGCCTTCAAAATGTGAGTTTGGTCCTTGGTCTTGGACCAAGCTAGGTTAGGTGTAAAATGGTCCTTTTACCCCAAGTATGGATTTATGGTTATGCATTGAAACTCAAATGGTTAATTGGGTTATGTTTTGATGATTGACAGTTCGGGGATCTATCAGCCAGCAGCCAAAGATTTATTTGAGGGACTTCAACAGTGCGAGGTGAGTTTTCCTCCCATATGTACGGGTCGAAGGCACCAATGCCCGCCCATATTTATGACTATGTGGATTGTCGGGACCCGCGTTTGGACCAGTGTATTGAAGTCATGACTTATGCCCGATTACGTTGTATGTTTGGCCTAATGGAGTGATGGACTTAATGGATTAAGTCCTTAATGTGTTATGTAAGAACACTTTAACCTAATTGTCATTTTATGTGAAAGCCCTAATTGTTTTGGGTTTTGAGTTGGGCTTTTCTGTTTGGCCTAGATGCTTGGATTCTTGATGGGCCATCTAAGAACAAGTATATGGACTAGGGTTTTTGGATGGGCTTTAGGATAAGGCCCATGTGAGGGGTTTGGGCCAAATTTGGGAAATTAGGCCATAGTTGGGCCTTGGTTGATTATTTAGCTTTTGGGCCTTCAGAATGTGAGTTTGGGCCATGGTCTTGGACCACGCTACGTGTAGTGATATGTCGGAGATGGTTGAATTGAGATTGTTGGTAAGTTTCATGCAAGTTCCTTCTCCTGATATCATAGTACAATAGAGAAAAAGGATCGTTAGTCGACGTTCGGGAGGAATCCCTGGGATGTAGCTCCGACGATAAATTTAGAATGAGTTTTGAGAGGACAAAGAGTAAATCACACGAAAAAGATTTATGTCCCCCTCTACATGAGGAAGAAGGATCCTTTTATACTTGTTTGAGAGGCGTGTGCTTCTCGACTGACTCTGTTGAGCATTCCCTCGTGAGGTGCGAAGTGGCTGACCCATATTGGAGGATCCTCCATCACATATTTTTGCCTCAACCCCTCATTGGCTAGTGGGGAATCTTTGATATTATGATGACCGTGGCTATCTTCAGATAGGCATGTGGAACTCTATGATTGGTCCCACGCTTGCTAGGGTGTTATTCCTAGGAGAAGACGTTAAAATGTGGTTCTACACCTTAATCGACATACCAGTGATTCCGTGTTGGCGAAGCCCTGGCCTTGGCCTCGGACTGTTAAACTTGGCTCTTTCCTGGCCAAGCTTGGTATTAAATTGACTTCTCCTTTTTTAACGTTCTCCTTGAGGGATATGTTAACAAGTCCCTAGGCTTGTAGCCGTATGCGTCGGCTTGATAGCAGCGCCGTTCGAGCCTTTATTACAACACGTGTATGTCTCAGATTATCTCTAACATTTGACAGGCTTTAGGCAGCGCCGTTAATGTGTGTCAAATCCATAGCAAGACGGTTTGTGACACCAGTTTTTCCTTTAAAATCCCCCTTTTCCGAATACCTTTCATCCTCACCTCCTTTCATTGCTTTTGTTGTATCAACTAAAGCATCTTACAAAATTTTCTTTTCTATCGTTCATCGGTTCTCGACAATGGGCCATTATGGTATAGTCCATACCATAGAAGAATTCCAATCTCTGCAAGATCATTTTGGTTTTTCACCGGAGCACGGTGTGATGATTCCATCAAAGGGGTTATTGATCTATGACGTCATCATGGGAAAGTGGGGGCTCCATCCCTCTATTCAAAGCGGGGTTGTGCCTGCCGACATCTAATTTTGTGACATGATTGCGCATACTATTGCTTTTCTGTTGATGACCTAACCCCTAGCGTTATTAATAAGATCGTAGGTTTTAAAATAATTTGTCGATCTTTGGGTTATATACCTACTTTTTGGGTTTTCAGTTACTTTTTTGGTTCAACTACAAATTTCGGCATCAACACTCTAGAGAAATGGCGGGGCATTCATCAGTTGATCTCTAGACAAGATACTCCAAAGAAAAATTGGTAGAGGCAATGGCTCTGGGTTAATCGAAAACTTGTGGGGCACGGGTTTCATAAAACAAGAGACTTTCCTGACCGTCATCCCAAGTTTTTTGGGAGTAACCTAACTCTTGGCAAACGACTAGGAAACATCTGTCTTTTGGGAGAACGTCGAAGATTTCATTCTTGCAGTGGCCGGTATGAGTGTCGCCTGGAGGGCTCGTGGGAAGATGGCGTAGTTATTCGTCGTGAGATGCAGTATTAACTCATCTCCTTCCCCCCCCCCCTTTTTTTTTAAAAAGAAAAAATAATGAGAATAGGGTATCTTATTGGCTTGTGAGTTTATATAATTGATGTTTGTTTTCACAGGTGCTGAAGCCGAAATTTCCTTGGAGATGGCCCTGCGTGGTCACTATCGGGGTAAGCTTTGCCACTGGGAGATCAATCTTGTAGAGGCTCTCCCCCCTCTCATTTTTGGAAAATGCATGCGAGAGTTCACTGGATTGCTCTCAGTAGAAGAGGGAAATACTAGTTCTAGCGGACCTGCCTCGCCTTCCCAGTCGGTTCTTAGGGTCCTTTCCCTAGTTCATTTACCGGTTCGTGCTTCTTCCAGTTTGCCTATGGAGGTACAAGAAGAAACACATGGTTCCCTCATTGGACGAGGAGACTGAATCCGATGATGCGGGCCTCCTTCCTCACAAGATGTGTAAGACTGTGTTCGTGGCTAAGCTTCTTGGTGGTATCGACGATGTTCTTGGTAATAAGTTTTATGTGCCTGGGCAGAAAGAGAGAGTAGTGGTGCATAGTTCTTCAATGACACCACCTTTTTCGTTTACTGGTTTGCTCTCAATTGCTCTTGGTTCCGGCTCCGTGTTTGGGGGTGCGTTGGGCTCACCTGGAGGTTCTTCCCAGCCAGAGAAGCCTTTAATGGTTAACGAAATAGGAACTATGTCTCACTATCTTTCAAGGCCTATGCTCCGGGCTGGGTGATTAGTAAGGATTCTTTACTATCAGAAGACATCACCGCAAAGGAGTGGAGTAGTTGTGCTTACCCCCAGCTACATTGAAGTTTCCTACAGGCCAGTCGATCGCTCGTGTGGCTGGTGATGTTCTTTATGTCGCGGCTCAGGCTTCTGCCCTTATGGTTGCTGCCGCCGACCGGGTTTTCCGCGCCAGCGTGAATGAAATACAATTAAAAACTTTTCAAGGTTCTATGGAAAGCATAAGAGAGGAACTTCATGATTCAGAGGCTGAGCCACGAGTATTGTCAGAGCATAATTGTATTGTAGACTGTGAGAAGGCCGCTTTGGAAGATCATGTGGCCACTTTGGAGGGTCGGATAGAGCGACTTGAATGACAATTGAGTTCTCTTACTCAGGAGAAGGGTATGCTAGCGAGTGAGTTGGATAGGTGCCAATGTCAACTTGCATGTGCTCGTGTTGATGATGATTTCTCCCGAGGCAGTCTGCAATGGATGCTGAAGAAGGGGGTGGTTTGTGTAGTTGGTAAAGTTATAGAGAGTGTGGAATTTGCTAGCAAGATCTAGGGTGTTCGTAAGGCTTGTGAGGCCCTTGGGTTTGAAAAGGGGAAACTACTAGGTGGTTGTTCCATAAAGTTTGGTGAACTTGAACCCCAGAATCCTGTCCGTGTCGCGAGATGGACCGAAGAGGTGGATACTGCTCCAACGTCCCTTGCTGTGACGGAATTTGCAGGCCAGTTTCATCTGGGGAAGCCAGATTATCACAGCTTCCACCAGTTTTGTCGTGGGTTGGGTTCGGGATGCTCTTCCTCGGACTCCGAGGACTAATTTTTGTTTATCTTTTCTGTTTATTCTATAATGTACTTCCATTCCCGTGTACTATATGCGTAGTGAAGAATAATGGCCGTTAATAACCAGGAACTATGTATTTTTCTTTGTATTTGGAATGGAAGTGTTCTCTTCCTATTTTTATTATATACTTTGAATTGACCTGTGGTATCTTTAAGCTAGGGCTATTCGACGTTTCAACTGTAATTCTTTTCTACACATTCCCTTGTTCTAGGGTTCACATTAATCGGTTAATGTGTACTTCAGACGTCTATTCACAACTATTATTGATTTATATTTCACTGATGTGCATGTTGTGATCAGACTTTTTTATTTTAATTCAGGAAATGTTGGTCAATTTTCTTGATTAAACTTTGAGGTTTAGCTACCTATATGCTGGCCGAGATCGTCACCTCAAGACCTTTTAATGTTCAATTTCCTGGGGAAAGGTTATGAATCTTTTAGAACCCTTTTTTTTGTGCCATTAATTGGGATTTATACATTCTCAACTCTGAGATGTTATTTGCACATTGTAGGTAAAGATTATGAATCTTTTAAGACCTATGACTGCATCCTCGCATAGATTTTGCTCAAGTAGCGTAGGTGATCAACCGTTGTTGCTACTTGGAAAATATGCACAACACCTTTACTTTGTGTATTAGCAATTGGTTAAATAGAGTTATGGAAAGCTCTTTCAAAATGCAAATTATATTAACCCTTTTTAAAAAAAACAAAAACATGAAACAATAGATCCTGAATGTCTAAGTATCAGGGCGTATGCCCGAACTTCGCGTCTGCACCTGGAGTATGGTTATCTTGTGAGGAGTTTGACCATACTCCTTTTTCTCAGTCTCCACATTATTTTTGATTGAGTGTTCTGCTATGACTACCTTATCACGGCTGTGCATCTTTTCATCATCTACTGTAAGTGCTTCTTGATACGTTGGGGTTTTCTCTCATTTCCACCACCGGGTCCCAGTGTGAGAGAGTTGAATTTTGTATTTCATGCTCTGGAGGCGCTTTCACTTTCCCTTCTTCTTGACCATGTGCATGTTGTGACCGTGAGAAGCGCCTCCCCTTGGCTGGGTGAGAGTACCACCTATGCTTTCTGCACACCTATCAACCTTGCGTTTCACACTATCACTTGAGGTGTCGTTTAGCACATCAGAGGCCCTTGTCGGTTCTCTTCAATAAGAAGGCATGCGTGTTAAAATAAGTGGCACTCTGCCTCTACTTTTGTTGATCATAGCGCTTATCTCCTTTATTCCAAAAGATTTTGGATCATGTTTGGCATCGTCCGACATCTCCTTCGATTCCCAAATCGCTCTATGGATTGGCATGGATCGGCCATTAGTTGTGGGATAGGGTAGTGCCCTTGCCCGCGGGTAGGCACTCCTTTGCTTCGCGATTTTTTGCTTCATACTCTGGATAAGTCATCGTTAGGTCAGCGCTTTTTCCTTTTAGTGGGAAAGATGTTGTGAGCCAACTGAATACATCTCTTTGCCTTTTCCTGGACTCGTGGACTAGCACTTGTGCTGCTGTAGAACTCCGTTTTGGATCCTCCACCTTCTGGAAACTTTCGCTTCCACACAATTGCGTTTCTTGCTTTTTTTCTCGGTGGGTATCGCGTCCAATATCTGGCTTGGTTGCCACTACTGTTGCTGATCTGTCACTCGTGCTGAATTTAAGAAAACTGTGGAGAGTAGACGGAATCACTTGAACTGAAAGAGTGTTGGCTCGCTAGTAGAATATTGTGTTCAGCCGGACATTCAACAACCGAGAAGTTGAGAACCCTTGTTATCTTTTTTCCCCATCATGACTTATCAATGTAAATGGGATCATCACTATTCTTGTTGGCCAAATGTCTTGACCGGTGAACCCAATTAGCGGGCCCTATCGTGGTGGCTAGAGGTGCTTTTTCCATTCAATTGGTTTCGCCAAAGGCAGTGTTCAGAAATCACATTGACCCTGCTTCTATTATCGATGTAAACTTCTTCAACGCAGTTTTGGCAAATGAAATTGATGATGTGCAATGGGTCATTTGGATCTCAATGCTCTGGCCTGGGGTCATTCATTGAAAATGCTATGTTGAGGATGTTTTGATGGTATACCTTCGTGCCTATGTGCTGGCTCTGGCGGTTGCTACATGGCATGAACCTGTGATGGTAAGTATCTTTGCCCTCCTTTCGTGTTCCTTTCCCCCATCCTTTTGATTTTTAGGCTGGTGCTTATACACATTAAAATTTTCCCTATGGTCTTTTTCTATGTCAACTATGTTTCCAACTAGCCATTTCCCATCGATCTCCTGCTCCAATACCTTCCATTCGCTTTTATCATGAGTTTTGCTTTTATGATATTCTGAAAACTTGGTATTGTCCTTGATCTCCTTTACCGGAGCCTTGTTGAGAGCAAGGACATCAGTATAACCACTCATATTGTAACATCCAGACTTTCAGGTGCATTAATACGTGTTTAACTTTGAGATTCATGGAATGACCCGGCGACTTATGAGTCTAACTCATTGAGTAGAGTCGAGTTGTCCATGTAGAATTAATGAGTGGACTCGACGAGTCAGAGAGCTGACTCGCTAATTAGGTACTGGGCAGAGAAACCCTAATTTCCCAGGGTTGGGGCTTATATAAGGGAACTTATAGCCTCATTTGCGGCTCATGAGTTGTCCAACTTCACTGAGAGGAACCCTGGTCGCCTTTTTGAGCTAAAAGAGAGAAGAGACATAATTTTGGGCATGTTGTGACCTTTTGGAGGAAGAAAGGGAGAGCATTATAGCATGGATCAAGTGGAGGCTTTTGGATCCAGAGATTCTTCATGGTTTTGCTTCAGCTAGAGGTAAAAAGATGCTTGCTTGATCATTTCCTTATGAGACTTTGTTTAGGGGAATTTTTAGGGTTTTCTTCCATCTTCCTTGTATCATGGAGTGATTTGTGCATGGCTTGATGTTAGCACCTCAGATATGGACTATAAGGGACCTCGTGAGTCCAAAGACCCGAGCTTTATTGATCTGGAGGCAAGCTCTTGTGCATCTAGCCCTTGTTAGTGTATGTTTTGGCATTATGAGCCTTATATTCCATGTTTGAACGTAAAACTTGCAACTTTACATGACAATCGACACTTATAATTGTGGATCTAGTGTTTAGAGTGATAGATCTGCCTTAAATCGTTTGAATGAGAAATCTGATCGACGGGACTCGCCGAGTCCATGGCCTGACTCGACGAGTCGGTGAAGGTTTGTCCCAATGGGTTTGATTGCGCAATAACTCGGCGAGTTAGGGGTCAACTCGACGAGTTGATCTGGAATTTATCGAGACTTCTGAGCATACGAGGGGACTCGGCGATTCGCGAGAGTGCACTCGACAAGTTGGGTGAAACATGGACTGTTGACTCGATTTTGACTTCTGTTGACTTTGGAGTTTTGGTCAACATGAGTAATAGAGACCGTGGAGGGGTAAAATGGTCTTTTATTTGCTCAAAGAGTTAGGGAGAGAAAGATTAGCCTTCGGTTATTTGAGTCGTGAAAAGACTATTAATTAGAGATATTAATCCTTTGTGTTAGGCGGAGGCTAGTTCGAGATCCCAACGTGAGGTTACTTGCTCACCTGCTTCCGAAGTGAGTCTTCTCACTATAATTTACATAGAGTGGTATCTATGTGTGACCAGATGTTCTTATGTGCTTACTTGAGTATTGTGATATTACTGCATATTGTCTATGTGATTTATGTTATACGTTATTCAGAATTTACAGAGTTAGGATCGGAGGGTCCACAAAGATAGGACCGGAGGGTCCATAGAGTTAGGGTCGGAGGGTCCATCAGAGTTGTGGGATTAGAGGGTCCCACTGAGACACATTGACCGGAGGGTCTTACACAGTTATAGCCTCGAGTGGCTAATTTGTTGTATATGGTATTTTGAGGCAACTTACTAAGCTTCATGCTTACCGTGTTGTGTGTTATGTGTTTCAGGTTCTTATCAGGATCGTGGAAAGGTACCGACTTGATTGTACACACCAGTGAAGGAGTTATGTTTTTGGCGGATCCTGGATTTTTAATCAAACAATTATGGAGTTGCGAGTTGTAAATTAAATAAATGAGATTTTTGTAAAAAAGTGATGTGAGAATTATATGATTTTAAATGAAAATTTTATTTGAAAAATTTACGTCGTTACAAGTTGGTAACAGAGCCTTGGTTTGAGGGATTTGGATGCACCTTCGGGTGTGTTTGAACTCAAACTGAGAATTTGAGAAAGATTTTCAAAAGAGAATTTTTTTTTTCTAAAAATAAGAAAGAGTTTAAGAGAAAACAAGTTGGAGTAGTGTGTACAATCAGTCAGAGCCCGAACGGTGATTTCCCAAAATACCCTTACTTTTGTGTTATGAGATATTTATGAGATATTATGCATGCTAGAGATAGGCTAGGTATTACATATTTTTGGACTAGAGTTGCCTGATTTGTGATGCCTTAGCCTAGGATTTGCTGCTATCTGTGATGTGCTTTTGAGTATGTGCTGAGTAGAGATGTTAGATACCTCGAGAGGTAGGATTGCCTGATTCGGCAATGTCTTTTGAGTTGGGAATAGAGAAAGAGGAAGTATATGCCATAGTGGCTTTATGTGTTAGTGGGGGTCATTCGATGCCCGAATGTTGCTTGCTTCGTGCATTGTGGAACTCTTGATGATGGGAGACAACTACCAAGTGAATATGACGATATTCAGGAGGTAGATGGTTGGCATCATGAGGAGTTCTTCAGTAGCTGATAGCAGAGAAGTGTGAGAACCTAGGAAGAGCCTAGGGAGTGAACTTAGTTAGATGAGTATGCTGAGGGAGGAGAGTATTCGCTGGAGGGGGAACTTGCATAACGGGATTGGTGATCGAGAAGGTTGAATAGCTAGTTAGGAAATTTGGGACGATCCGTGTGGAGACTATGGGTAAATGTGGCAAGTAGTATGGGCCTGTACTACTGAAAGCATAGGACCCATACTCGAGACA